GTTACTCATGGAGTTAATTGTAATAGTTCCTTTATATTTAATGAAAAGCTTCTTTAAGAAAACCCATATCTCTTATAATAAAATGGTGACCACAGCGACCACTTTTATAATAGCTTAGTTTATACTGGATATATATAATCTAATATCGGATAGAAAGTTAACTGGGTGAATCTGCCCTAAGCCCACAACCAAACGAGGAACAGGGAGTAAGGCGGAAAGCACACATCCAACTACCTATTGGGTATTAATTTTATATATAACCATGATGTATAAACTAAGGTATTATAGAGTTACTCACCTAAGGTCCTTTAAATTGTACTGGTTTAATAAAATGGACTAAACCCTTTTACTGATCAAGTTTCTAGTTTTGTATACCAAAAGTTCTGATTTGGAAAGTATGTTTTGTACTAGAAAAACTGTGCTTTGACTCTATGTCCTATGACCTGACCCATACCTGGTACCCTTATGATGACTTAATGTATACTAAGCATACATATATATAGAATCGAATAGAAAATAGATTGGGTGAATTCGTTCCAAGCCCACAACCAAACAAGGAACAGGAAATGAAGCGGAGAACACACATCCTATTACCTGTCGGATCCTATTGGTATATATATATCCTGTGATGTATACATTAAGGAATCATAAGACTAGCATTATGGTCCTTTCTTTTAAACGTAGCCTTCTACCAAGGCATCTACTGTTATGTGCTAGACTCGACTGTTCTGTTTGTCGTTTGTAAAAACGTAGCCTTCTACCAAGGCATCTACTGTTATGTGCTAGACTCGACTGTTCTGTTTGTCGTTTGTAAAAATGTATGTTTTCCCTAGTTTATAACTATCTTGACTCGAAAATAGTTTGAGTTTGTCTTTCAAGTGGTACTGTCACTTTGTGAAAGTAATGGGAAATGTAAGTACATAGTTGTCGTTTATAATGACCTGCGGATGTACTGATGACCTAAAAACATGATTGTTTTATTACGGTCATAATGTGAAGGCTAGAACCCCTACTAAACGTTCTCCCTGACTAGAGATTAAGGGAACCAAATGCGACCTCTGCAAATTCTTCCAAGCCGTGTAATTCACATTTGTTATATGATCATGTATACCCAATATAACTATCACCTTTTGTTTAAAACAATGAGTTAGTGATCAATTGGTATAATTAGATCCTGCATGTTCTCATGCTATAGAAACCTAACTTGTTTGTTTTGTACTGTATGTTGTACGTTCTGTTTGTTTCTCATAATGGTGTGTTCTCTGTGTATGGTATTGTTTGTTTCTCATCATTGTATGCTCTGTATGGTATTGTTTGTTTCTCTTCACTGTGTGTTTGACTCATGTATGAACTGACTCTTTGTGTGCTTCATTGTACTAGAAGTAATGAAAAGTATCTACCTAAACTATACCTATTATAGTTTACAAATGTTTTACTTGGACCGTTATTGAAAAGACTCGTTTATCTACTAAATTATGTTTGTACTTTAAAAACGGAGTTTTGTATAACTATAAAGTAACATAACTTCAAAAGAGTTTTTGAAATGTTTTGACAACTTATAAAGGACATAAGTAACATTTTGAAAGATGTTTATAACAAACATTACACAATTATCATTGTGTTCAACTTGTATTCCCCCCTTAAAACATTTAAAATAGTTAAAAGATTCATTACGGGGTATGAACTCACCTGATGTGGGTGATTCAAACAGGTATGCGTGTAAGGATGAGAAGATCCACGAATGAAGTCCCGAGACACAATAGGTCCTAAATGACATATCATGACACATATTGGCATGAATATAGTGTTTATAAACAACTATATGAAAGGAAACACCTTCCGGGACTAGGAAACACTTTGACCAAGTGTTGGAATCACATGTGATTCATCAAAGGAGAGTAGAATGACACCAACATGAGTTTACGGCCATGTGTTTATGGCCAAAGGGAGTTTACGGCCGTAAACTCATGGTCACTCATGTATAAGTGTAAGTTTGAAGGCTTGGGAAGCTTTAGGGACTTTTGCTCTACACAAGCATGAGAAAGACCAACCCATTGAAGGCTTTTGATGAGTTTACGGCCTAAAGGTGTTTACAGCCGTAAACTCATAATCATTTATGCTTATGAGAGTAGTTTAAGGTCCTAATCTCATCCATGAAGGGTCCTGGGTCACTAGCTTTGCATCTAGGAGGGTTTATGGCCAAAATGGCAACCTTAAAGGGGTTTACGGCCTTGGGAGATGGCTTGGCCGTAAACTCCTTTTGTCCTTGTGTTCTTGATGTTTTCAAGTCTCTAAGCATGGATACTAACTAGATAAGAAGTATAGGGAAGAGTACTTACGATCTAGAAGCTTGAAATGGTCGGTTTTGGCCAAGAACACTAGTGTGTGTTCTTGGTGAAACTTGAAGATCTATGAAAAGAATGATTTCTATGGATGAAATCATGGAAGGATACTAGAATAAGGGATGTATCAACAAATCTAGGAAAAATACTTACATCTTTTGAAGATCTAGGAAGGAAATCTTGATGATACTTGAGAGAGAACTCGAGTTCTTGGGGTTGGAATGCAAGAAATGACTAGAAATGACCAAGTATCATATATATACACTTGAGTTTACGGCCACATGAGCTTACGGCCGTAAACTCATGGCTTTGTGGCCGTGAACTCTTTAAGGTTTGATTTCTTGGACAGTGTCTCTAGCAGGTACATTTTAACACTCATTCCTTAAGTGTACTAGGCTTAAAACTCCTTAGAATGACCTTTAACCGGGCTAGAACTCATTACCAATGAGTCTGACACTCAGTTGAGTTGATTGACTGGGCTTTAAAAATCAAAAATTTTCCGGGTTGTCACAGTTTATTTGGGTGATATGGAACTTGTTCACGTAATCTGATCAAGCTTCATATATTTTACCAATCTCAAATCTCAGTTGGCTTAAATGAAGTACAAACTATGATCCCATCAATCTATTTGTTTGGTTCCTTCAAAAACAAGAACTTATTAAAATATTCAACCAAATAAATATAAGATGGACATGATAAAGCTTTCAATTACACTTACCCATCTGTTCGAACAAGCTCTGAAACTTTTTCTCTAGTTGATCCTTCGTTCTAGATGTCCAAATCCGAGAAGGGCGTCCACATACACAAGGGTTTGCATCATCAAGTATCTTCTTTGTAGATCTTGAGTTTGACATTAACGATTGAGAGGAAGAAAAAGAAGTAGTCATTATAAGAGATCGAACACATACGTCGTTTGTTTTTTCTCTTCTCCAAACCCTAAATCGATATATGAAGCGCAATTCTAATCTATTTATTTCATGTCATTAAATATAATCCCATATCATTTGGCAACTAATTGTATACCTAATGAACTTGGTTGCCTTTAATGAGAACTAGACAAAAACTTAAGTTCGTTGGGTTTTTTTTAGACAAAATGTTAAGTTCATTGAGTTTTTTTGAACAGACAAAACATGATTGAAGTTTTTCGAATGGTTTCGAAACTTCGTTGGTCATACAAGTCATTTTCCCGATATTTAATTTCACGACATAAGCCATGTCATTTGTTGAGTTTTATTAGCCAGTTGACCGTAATGAGAATTGAACAAAAGTGTAAGTTAGTTGGAATTTTTTAGACAAAATATTAAGTTCGATGGGTTTTCCTGATCATACAAAACATAATTGAGGTTTTTTGAACGGTTTGATAACTTCGTTGAGTTTATAAGGTGCTGTTTGTTTTTTCGAAGCGAAAATTCATGAAGTCTGTGGACCACCTCTGCAATCCTTTGTAGCAGAAGAGGTGGAACAAACGGCTGCAGTCCATAATAAGAAACATGTTTGTTTTTTAACATCTGCAGACTGCTGAAATTTAAATAAACTAATTTTATAAACTGAAAATAGTTCTCAACACCGAAATTTTAATAATTATAGTATTTAAAACATTGAAAGAGTACTAAAAAGAACATATAAAAAAATAAAACTTTTTAAAAAAAACTTAAAAAAATATAAAAGAAGCTAACAACTTTATTCTAGAAAAAAACTAATTTTAAAAAACATAAAAAAGAAAATAATAAAAAAATTAAGAAAGTATTGCAAACGATGTCTACAAAGTTCGTAAAAAATTATACACGTTCAAAAGATGAAACCGAAATTGAAAATATTATTAACAGAAAATGTAAAAAAATTTAAAAAAATCAAAGTTTTTTTTTTAAATCAAGTTAAAAAAATTTGTGGAAACTATAATAAGAAAATGTATCAAATCCGTAAATAAAAGTTTTTTTAAAAAAAAAGTTAAAAAAAATATGTTATACCAAAATTCTAAAAAAAACACTTCAAAAAAATAAATGTTGAAGAGGTTTGAAGAGGCAAGTCAAGTACTGCGCCACACAGCACACACTTAGAGGTTTTGCAGTCTTAAGTCTTTCAAAAAACAAACTGATGCGAAAAGGAAAGTGATGCGCTGCAAGTGGTTTAAAGATGTTTTTTTAAAAAAAACAAACAACAGTTAAGTCATTTCTCCGAAAAGTAGAAAGCCATTCTCTCACGTGGAGACAATAGTGCTCCAATCCCATCCTCCAATGCAAAGATTAATGTTTGTAATATATATATATATATATATATATATATATATATATATATATATATATATTTTAGTGTGTCTCCCATCTTTTTTGTTTTTTCCCAATATTAATATATTTGTCTCTCCTTTCAAAAAAAAAAAAAAATGGAGAGAAAGAAACGAAAAAAGAAAAAAAGAAAAGAAAAGAAATTAATAATAATCTTTTCATATTCTTTGTATCGAAAGAAATACACAAAAATAATAGATTTTAATGTTTTCTGGTCAAGGAAAAAAGGAATGAACTGAAAGAAAAACAAACCACTTCAGTATATCACAGATGAAATATTAAATTCTCCATACAAAGGATGAAGTTTATGGGTCAACATTTGAATTATCACAAAAAATACAAGTGTGAACATCATCTGCACGTAGGTCCCACTGGGATGTACTTAAATACATATCGCGGAAGCCCACACTTTCCTCCATTTATTACCATCCCTCCACCACCCCCGATCTCACATATTTCCGACTATTTATACCCACATAACTCCGCCTCCACTCCACTACCTCCGCCACCACAAACTGCCATGGGCTTCTCTCTTAAACTCGCCGTGGTTTCCGCCACTGTCTTGTCAACCGCTGTCATGATAAAACTTGTAGCACCTGTCATTATGGAGCTGACAATCTCCGACCTTCCTTTCATATGGACCTCCGTCATCTCTTGGCTCAAACCGCCGTATCTTTACGTCGTCATCAACTGTATCATCATCACCATCGTTGCTTCTTCACGCTTACAGTCCAAGCTCGATGATTCTCCTTCTCCCTCGATCTCAACTCTCCCAACTGCACTCCTACTCTCAACTGAGCCCGTCAAGGTTGAGCTACCCCCACTGGAACCACCGTTCCACGGTGGTCAATTGGCGAATGAACCCGTGAAGATCACCGCCGCTAGTTACGGCGATAGTCCGATGTTTGTTCAAGCTCCGGAACCGGATTTTGGTATTCCTCAGTTTACTGATGTATACAAGGATGAAGATATGAAGGTAGCAGCCGAAGCTTATGAAGAAATCACAAATAATAAAATTAATAAGCATGTAATCTCGATGTCTTCCTGGACCCCGTCAAATATAAATCAAGTAGATCTCACTTTTCCGGTGGAGAAACCACCAGCTTCCGCCAGATTCAGCCACCGGAAACCTGCAAAAGGCAGCGCCGAAGGTAATAATACTCACTCTCTTTCTCTTTAAGCTCTTTCACATTTAACACGTCGTTACACGAAGTTTACATCTTCAATTTGTTATTCGTAATCGCCGGTGATACGCCGGAGTATTCAACGGATATACACTGAGTTTTCAATCAAAGATATTACGATATTGCCCTTTGAAGACGGTGAGGAAGAGGACAAACAGAACTTACTAGCCGTAATCTTGAAGCTTGATCCTTCCACTATAATTTAAAAAGATAAGACTAACATCGTCATAAAAAAATGACACCATGAAGATAACGTCAGCTTTCTCTGGGTTTTACACTTTACAGTTAACAGTTGACACCATGGATTTGCAGGTGGACGGACGTTGGGAATTGCGAAGCCGAAGCGTCAGGACACGCTGGAAACCACGTGGAAGACAATAACGGAGGGCCGGTCGGTGCCTTTGACGAGACACCTACGTAAATCTGACACGTGGGAGACACACCGCAACTCCGAGGACTCACCAATCGAGCATCACCCCGAAAGGATGACGAAGTCCGATACGTTTGACGTCAACCGCGGAGGTGGCAGTAGTAGGAAACCACCGCCTTTGCCGTCGAAGCTGAGTCGGTCGGGTGGGTCAGGGAGGCTGAGGAAGGATCCGTCGTTGGGGCAGGAGGAGCTTAACCGGAAAGTGGAAGCCTTCATCAAGAAATTCAATGAGGATATGAGATTACAGAGACAAGAATCCTTGAATCAGTACATGGAGATGATCAATCGTGGGGCACATTAAATTGGCAACGGTCGTTCGTACATACGTTCGTCCTTTTGTTCATCGTTTCATCAAGTTTTTTTTTTTTTTTTTTTTTTTTTTTTGGGTTACCAATGATTTTCTAATGATAAAGATCCAATCGTAGAGTATAGGAGTAAAAGATTGTATATTAGATCATATTCATAATGGAATATAATATTTTTGTGTTTTATTTTGTTAAAATGTTTTTATATGAATATATAGTTTTTGAGTGTGTTTTGTAAAATTAGCCGGTAACTTATAGTTGATAGTGTTTTTTTAAACGCTATGTAAACTAACATTTAAATTTGGAGCGTTTTGTTTAAACTAAATGCTATAAACTTATGATGCCAAATGAGTTTTTTTGTTTAAAACGAAACGTTTTGTTAAACGTTAGAAATTAAAATTAAAATGTTAACAATATAATAAATACTTAATTGTTACAACAAATAGTTTAATAATAGAGAAATTATTAATTTGGTTAATTAGATTAAAGAACATTATTTGTTTAATAATTGAGAAATTATTAATTTGGTTAATTAGATTAAAGAACATAAGCTTAAATATATTCCACATATTTTGCATTTGAAATAACAAATAACAAATTGTTACGATAACAGCATATTTTTGAGAATAATAAAGGCAAATAAATAATTTTGTAGTTGATCTATTTTTTATCTTTGAAAAATATGTGTGTGACTTTTGTATAATTACTAATGTTTTTGATTTTTGAAATACATTGTAATAAAAAAAGGTAATAAAAAAGATCATTGCATTTATTATCATGGTTGGTTGATTTGAAAGAATAAATTAATTATTTAAACATGATTTTTTTTAATAAACTAGTAAAAAATTTCGTGTTTCGAAACGGTGTTGATAATATTTGTTGTTTTTTTGTATTTTTTGGTTAGTGTTACTGTAGGTTCTAAAATCAAATGAATTCACCTATTAATACATTCTACATTAAAAGTACATTTCCATTTCTTGAATTAGTCCATAATGATAAGAAAAACACCCAAAAGCAGTCGGATATGCTATAGCAGTTACTTGATAAAAAACTAGTTGTGAGACCGATGTATATTACATGAGTTAATTTAAACAAAAAACTAAATATAAATGTTAAAATATTTAAGAACTCTGAATTTATAAGAAAATAAGAAAAATAATGAATTATTATAATATAAATGTTTTTTATCTTTTAAATTTAAACAAATAATTTAAATAAATAAAAAAATTAATGAGCTTTAATTTTAGAAATTTTGAAATTAAAATGTAAGTAATTAATAAAATTGATATCCATTTATTACTACAGTTATTTCAATTATTACATTAAAATATTATGTGGAATAATAAAATAGAAAATTCATAAAATGACATATGTAAAAAAATAATTCAAAATAACCACAAAATGTCATTTGACAAATTGAATAGAGTGTGACAAGTGACAAAAAAAACCTTCATTTATTAGAAAGGATGACTAAATTTTAACATACGAAAGAGTTGGATGACAATTTTTTATATTAACCCTTTTAAATTGTTTACAAAAGGTTAAAATCTAATAATATTACTTGAACACCCATTAATCTTGTTCTCATAAATTCTCTTGCTTCATGGGCGTAAGGTGCATGTTTTTCCTTTTTTTTCTTGGATTTCCCCATTTGGGAGTAGAGGCTAATGAACATTACTGTTCATACTACTTACATGCCTGATTTTTGTATACAATCAGACAGAAAAAGAAAAAATATGTAAAGATCAAAAGGAATAGATGAATGTAATATATGGACTTAAATTGATATAATATAAATATCTACCTTCACGGGTCATTATGAACATTTTGAAGTACAACCTAGCATATTGTAAAAGAGTATTGATTTCCTCATTTGAAGCATTAATCAAGCAAAGTTCTTTGATTTCCTCTTGCCATTTTCCATACGTTCCTTGTGTATTCTGTGGGCATGAGGTTTCATTATAAGCACACAACAACTATAAATGTTTAAACAAAGTTCATTTACATGTTCCAACTCACGTTATCGTCCGTTCTTCAAATTCAGTCGCCAATTGTCCCAGGAATGGTTTCCCAGATTCAAGAAGCTCAAACAACTTAATAAAATAATCAAAAATGACTTAAAAATTAAAATTTAATTCATAAATTCAAAGATGTATAATGATAACATTGTGCTGATGATTAATCTTTGATATGGTTACCTACTGAGTAAATTGATCAATCTTTTCAAGAATTTGGTTCATATAAGCCTCATGTGTCTGTATCTTCTTCTACAACTTCTATTATTGCTCCATTTACTACATCCGGTGATTCCTTCTCTTCAACCTTATACATCAGTATCATAAAGTACTACACCCAACAACAAATTATTAATATTCTTTAGCAATAAATAATGGAAATGATAGAAGTTAGGTTCTAAGAAGACATATAAATCTCTTACATTTCCTCATGGTTTCAGTTACATCAGAGTATAATGTGGAAACATTATTGCGAATGCGCGTGTGTACAGTTGAACCTTGGCCTTCTCACGAAGTACCTGAAAAACATTTATAACATCTGGGTACGCGCTAGGATTAGTGAGTTCCCCAAAATATCATATCCCACAATACATATACAATATATACACGTATTGGCCTTCAGCTTGTAGTTGGTCTGCACCTTGGCCTTCAACATATAGCTGATCCGCCCTATATAGCCTTAAGCACGTGTCTGGTCCGCTTTCCCTTGGCCTTTAACATAAAGCTAGTTCGCCCGAGTCTATTGGCCTTCAGCACAAGGATGGTCTGCCCGCAACATCATATATACATAGCAACATATAGCAACAATCCACATAACAGGCAAGTAACTATCCTAGTCTAATTGCTTAAGTGCATACTACAGGGTAACTATATCCTAACATACAGAGGATACATACTAGAGTATGCAATATAATGAGAACAACTCACCTGGGCAATTTCTTAGATGATCGAAAACTATCTGGGTGATCCTACCAGTGATCCTAATAGTGGGTAATATGTCAAACAAGTATTAACCTATAATACTTTAACTATTAATCTCTACGGTGATCTGGTAATGAAAACTAGATCTTTCACTAATCCCAATGAATACTGATAGTTCTATCAAATAAGGATCAACTAGGCTGGACAGTTGGGAGGCAAGATCATTTCAGTGTATAGCCTTTCTGAAATCCAACAACCAAGCCGAAATGACCATTCTAGGCACCTCTCCCGTAAGTAGATTGATCAACATTATAACTGGAATTATTGATTAATCTTATTTATATATCCATAAGAATGACTATGAATATAAATATAAGCTACACTTAAAGCATAGTAAGTATAACCTAACTTACAGAGAGTTTCTCATGAAACCGAGAATTATGCAGGCAGAACTCTGATCCAAGAGCTTCTATTCACTGACTATCTAACACCATTGGGCTAGGATGGGATCTGCAACCTTTATATAACCAATTTTAGGATGCGTTCTGCACACATGGTCAGGTGCACGCCACACACCTGGTCTAGGGTGCTGACATGGCTTTTCCTGGGTGGTGACACGTGTTGGAAAACTGGTAGAGTGTCATCTGGTCTGTGCACCGTCTCCATGCGAAGATGTATGTTTTCTTAAAGATTCCATATCTTCTCCGTACGAGCTCTGTTTGCGATGGGTTTTATATCCACTCGTATCTATCAACTAGATCTACAACTTTCATTTAGACTCTGTTGGATAATTTTGTCTTTATTTTTAAGCTATATTTTTAATAGGCTTAGACTGTTAAAACCTGTATAAAAATCATAACTCTCTCATATAAATTTCATTCTTGACTGCCTTTATATCAACATAATTATATGGACAAGAACTCTGATCCGGGAGCTTTTATTCATCGAATATATAACACCATTGGGCTTCGCCGGAGACTAAAACTAATGGAAATCTAGAGCTAAAGCAGCAAGAAATTTGATAGATAGATAGATAGATAGATAGATAGATAGAGAGAGAGAGAGAGAGAGAGAGAGAGAGAGAGAGAGTAGTGGGAATGGTATGGAGGGGAAGAATGGGATCTGCAACCTTTATATAGCCAATTTTAGGATACGCGCCGCGCACGTGGTTGGGTACGCGTCGCACACCTGGTCTGGGGTGCTGACATGGTGTTTCCTAGGTGGTGACATGTGTTGGAAAACTGGTAGAGTGTCAGTGTGCGCCACATCTAATCTGCGCGCCGGCTGAGCGTGGAGATTTATGTTTTCTTAAAGATTCCATATCTTCTCCGTACATGCCCTGTTTTTGACGGGTTTTATATCCACGCGTGGCTATCAACTAGATCTACAACTTTCATTTAGACTCCGTTGGCTAATTTTGACTTTATTTTTAAAGCTATATCTTTTACAGGCTTAGACTATTAAAATCTGTATAAAAATCATAACTCTCTCATATGAATTCGTTCTCGACTGTCTTTATATCAACATAATCATATGGACGAGATCTTCAACTCTTGTTTAGATTGTTTTTCCTAACAGTCAACCAATTTCTATTTCGGTTTCTGTGTCGTACACTGTTGCACTGAAACTTCTAAAAATCACAACTTCTTCTTATGAAGTCAGATTTGGACATTCTCTATACACACGCTCTTGGTTTTGCGATTACTATGAATTTCGTTAAGATTATTTATCCTAAATAGTCTTCTATCAAAGATTTATGTTTACGTGACTACTTGTTTATACTATAAGATGAAAATGGGGTGTTACAACTCTCCCCACTTATAGAGATTTTGTCTCTGAATCCTACTCCTAACACACTTTAGGATAATGCCTACACTATCCTACTGGGGTTTCACAAGATCAACCTAATATCTAGCCAACGTTTTTGCATCAAATTCGTCCCTCCGTACTTAATCGGCCGTAGAACTTCGTTTTCTACCTTAGGCGCACTCCCGAAATCCTCGCGACGTCTTCCAAAACTGGGAATTCATTGGTTTGGACTACGATTGGCAGTCGCCTTCAGATGCAAAATGTTGACACAATCGACTTGA